TGGTGAACCCATGAAAATAGTGTACACACCAGTACATTATATGGTGTACGCGTCAATATATGGTGTACAAATATATGACCATATTACTCTTAGCTATATTCAACATTAAATTTTATATATATCACTTCCAATAAATAATGGTGTACCTATACGTTATATTATACTTTTGAAAAAGTATACTTTTGAAAACTAACACCCTAAGAATGTAGTTTTGAAAAGTATACGTACTAATATATGGTATACACAAAATAGTATACATATATAAAGTACACACCAATATATATTGTACCAGTATATGATATTTATCTCTTAGCTATCTTACAATATATATTGTACCAGTATATGATATTTCATTAAACAAAAGTATATTTATATATTATTATATGGTATATATATCATTACTAAATGCTAAATTCTAGTCAAATAGTGATCCATGGAAAAAATAATAAAATACATTAATAAAATAATATTATTAAATAAAACATTTGTTTGATGTAATTTAAAATACAATAGAAATAAGTATTGAAATCAATTACAATAGAAACTATGACTAACTTAGATAAATTGCTACTTTTTCAATAAATTAAATTATTAAATGAATAAGAGATAATTAAAGAGGTGCAAATTTCAACAAAAAATATCTCATATAAGAAGAATTTAAGAAAGAATAAAGGGAAAAAATGAGATAATTTTTGTTAAAAGATAATGTATAATGACATTAGGAAATCAAATGTTATTGAATAGAACATCTGTTTGGTGTAATTTAAAATACAGTAAAAATGAGTATTTTTTTTAATTATAGTAGATAGTGTAAAGAATAAGAGATAAATGTATAAGAGATAGTTAAAGAAGTGAGAATTTGAATAAATCACAATCTCACAAAACAATTTAGAAAAGAGAAAAGGAAAAAAGATAAGATAAATTTTTGTTTTAAAAAAAAAAGTAAAATGGCATAATCGTGATTTTTATTTTGCAATTTCGAATTATTTTATTTAAATAATTCGAGTGGTATTCTCCGTAAATAAGTCGAAATCCGTAGGGCTATTATCAAGGCACAAAGAGTGATCCACCCATTTTGCAATTTAAAACTTACACCCACCCAAAACTTAATTTCAAACTTAAAACCCACCTTCCCACCAAGTTTCCCTTTCTATCGTATGTCGAACTAACTGAACAATTAAAAATAACTAGAATAATGAAAATGATGTCGACTATTTTTATTCAACTAAATTTCTTAGAATAAGTATAACAATCGACTAGTTTTTCTTCAGATTTTCTAATGTATCTAAATCATACTACCATTTGAAGAATAAATAATATTTTAAAATAATTATTAGTTAAATTCATATTCCAAATCATATATATTTTTAAGATCAGTCATCAGAAGATCTATTGCTTAAGAGAAAAGGCAGATAAATTTATAAATGGAGTTTGGTGACTACAGATTCATGGAACCTACAACAATAACTTATACCTTTATTAATATGCTTCTTATACTTATATTTGTATACTTTTATAAATAATACATGTATAATTAATGTTGTAATTCTATTTGGCTTCTTACTATTGATATAGTTCCAATTTTTTTTTATCTTATATATATATATATATATAAAGTTGATGTGATTCTCTTCTCACGCTGCCACGTCAGAAATTGTCACAGCACATCATTTTTTTATATTTTTACTTTTATAATAATTATCATTTATTACTATAATAACTTTACAAGAATATGAAAAGTCATTTAAAAAAAAAAATTTTATGTATAGATCTTAAAAACTATATTATTTAGTAGTAATAATAATAATAGAAATATATTATAAAAAAATATTGTTTTATTTTTTAGTATTATGTGAAGAAATGAGACGAGATCGAACATGACGAGAGGAAAAAAAATAGATTCGAAGAAGAGGGAAATTTTGTTTACTTCTTATTATATTAATTGGCAAGACAAGATCTAAAGGAACGAAAAATAACAGGATAAGACAAGACGGAAATTTTACATACCTCTAATTATGTTTAGGGGCGGAACGAAAAAAATGAAAAAAAAACATGATGAAAGAGGACAAAACAGGATGGGACGGAATGAAAAGAAATGGGATGTGACGGGATTGAACGGAACTAGATGAAAAATGACATAATGGGACGGGAAAGGACGGGACGAGAATTTTGCTTATCCCTAATTATATTCAGAGACGAAAGAGATAAGACAAAATGGAAAGAAACATAATAGAATACGATGAGACTGGATGGGCGGACATAACGAACATGACGGGAAAGAATAGGACAAGATGAAAAAAGTAATGGGACAAAATTATGTCTACTTCTAATTATATTTAGGGATCGAGACAAGAAGAAACGGAATGGAATATAACAAAATGGAAAGAATCATAATGGGATATGATGGGACTGGACAAGACGGGACATACAGGACGGATGAGACGGGAAAGAACGTACATGATAAAAATGAACAAAATGGAACGAGAAGTAACAAGACGATAAAAAACAATATTAAATTTGCGAAAAAAAAACTAACACAACTCGCGCTTCGCGCAGGTTACCCCTTAGTTATTAATAAAAGTTGATGCTACATGCTATTGAGAGTGTCATTATTAAAAAACCCAATTTGATTGGTTCACATCAACATTTAAAATTAGTAAATTTTCCAAACTCTAATTTTTTTAACTAGGGAATGAAGCCCCACGCAAGCGCGGGGTTATTATAATAACAATTGTGTTTGTGTGTATTCATTGATTTAAATTGTGATAGTTTAATATTTAATTTAATGGTTACATTTTCAGTTAAACTAATTATTCATATTAAGGATGTTCAATATGAATTTTAAAAAATCTTAACTGTATATTTCATCTCTGGTTCTTTTTTTTCCAAAATTTAACATTTTAAATATTTCCCTTATTCAGTTTCATTGGACTATAATTTAACATTGAACTTGAATCACATTTTGACTCAAAATATGGTAAAATATATATATATATATATTTTTTTTTTGTAGATTAGCATTTGATCACTGATCATTGATTCTTATATACAATTTTATATTTGTAAATTTAAATTATATTTTTAAACAAACATGTCATAATCCTTAAAATTTACATATGTTGCTTTTAACTTCTTATTATCTTTCTACTGTATTATCTAAATGATATTCTATATTTTATAACTCTTAAACACATTAAAATGTTTTACAAAAGATAAATCCTCTATATAAATTTTGATCAATAAGGTAAATATATACTATTTAGAGTAAAAAATATCATTTTTCTTTCTCTAATTTCTACTAAAATTTCTATTAAAATTTTATATCAAGTTGTTACATACTTTATATTTCTTAATTAGTATTTTTTTTTAATTTATTTTATATATTTCTTTGGATTATATGTAAAGAAATATGAATAGTCATGTATTAAATATCTTAAATACAATTTATTAAATTTTGTTGCTGATGTGGATATGCTAGATGGAGAGAGCACTCTCCTATTGTATATAAGATTGTTTGATAAGTTTGTAGTTATTACATGATCAAAGTTAATTTTATATATTAAAATATTGACCGAGTTTGTAATTGAGTTTGTAATATTAAAATAATGAAATATTATATTAAGTTAATTGTTTTGTTAATGAAATATTGATCATGTGTATTTGTTAACAAGAAGTCTAGAATAAAAATAAAAATGATGAAAATAAAATTTATAAGATTGATGAAATCAAAGTTCTAAATTAATGATTTTTTTTTTATAAGTTTGTATTAACAATAGCAAATTAGAAAATTTTATACTTATTTATGTCGATTAAGTTAAGAGTGTCAACCTAGGATTTTCAGAATTCAATCTTATTGGTCGATATTACAAATATTCAATCAAACATTTTTTTTTGAAATTGATGTACATGCTAATATTTATGTAACCTTGTCGCATATGTTGAAATAATGAGTATTTCTAATCAAAATAATATAATTTAGAAAAAAAAAAACCGTAAAGATAGTGGCTAATGTGAAATATTCTGGAAAATAAGCCTAAAAAAAAAAAGGCGAGGAGAGGATATACTGACATATTGATATGTAACTAAATTAGTTTAGAAAAAATGGACAAATGTGAAATATAATTTGAAACAAATGTCTAAAGACGAAAAAAGTAAGGATTTAAATACTCTCATATTACTTGTAGTCTATATAGAAAATGGAAATGAATACATGACATCTTTTTGACAGACTTAAATTTTTTTTTTTAATTCAAAGTTAATTTTATTGATTAAGAAGTGATTACATGATCATTATACAAAAGTTGAGAAAGCCAAAATTTAATCTAGAAGAATAAAAAAATGCCATTGTTAAGTGTATGTGATGCTAAACCATGAGCTTGAGCTACTGTATTGCTTTGACAGACATATGAGTAAAAAAAAAATTATTTAATATTGATATATGGTCTTAATGTTTTTACATACAACCTAATCTAACGAATATAGTGAAATAAAACTTGTTAACCATAAAAGTAATAAAGATTTAAGATATCAAAACCGAAAAACTACATTAAACAATCAAAAATTTATAGCAATTTTACCAAAGTAAAATTCAAATTTAAAAATAATTCTCATTCAAATCTATATTTTTGTGTGCAAATCTCATTCGTATATATATATATTAAACCAATTTGTTATATAGACCACATGTGGAAGACCTAATAATATGTAAAAGGTAAAGACTTACCACCACACATATTAGTTGAAAATATCTTAGAGAATACAGTAAAACCTCTATAAATTATTATTCCCGTAAATTAAAGCAACCAACTCGGCCTATGGGAAAGTAAATCTTATCTTCGCAACACCATGATCTTATCTTCTTTTTAGTTAGATAAAATATATATTACGGTATTAATAACCTGCTGGGGGCTATAAATAGAGACCCTTTAGATCCTAGTTTAATGTCAAAGCAAGAAAATCAATAAGAGAGATTTAATTTAATAGAAAAGCAAGAGATACAAATGGCAGGAATCATCAACAAGATCGGAGATGCACTCCACATTGGAGGAGGCAACAAGGAAGACGAGCACAAGAAGGTGGAACACAAGAAACACGCCGATGAGCACAAGAGCGGAGAGCACAAAGAAGGTATCGTCGATAAGATCAAAGACAAGATCCACGGTGGAGAAGGCAACAGCCACGATGGTGAAGGCCACAAACACAACGGTGAGAAGAAAAAGAAGAAGGAGAAGAAGGAGAAGAAACACCATGGGGATGGTCACCACAACAGCAGCAGTGACAGCGATAGCGATTAAGGTAATTTTCTTCTTCTTTCATTTCTATCTTTACCCATGAATCAGACTAATCCTTAAAATCTGAGAAGTGCATCATATTTTTTTAAAGACTCGAATTCTTGTTTCCCAATTCTGGGATGAATCGTTTGTCTGTCTCCTTTATCTCCTAGGGAACATTAACCAAGTTTTTTTTTTTGTGGTGTGAATGTTATACATTAACCAAGTTATCTGGAAAAAATGTGTTTTTTTTTGTTTATTTTGTTGTTGTAAAAGGTTATCCGGAAAAAAGTTACATGTTTGTTCTAAGATATAAAATTCTTTGTTCATATTAATCCCATTTTTTTTCATATTAATCCATCTTTAGTTTTTTTTTTTTTTTTTTTTTTTTTTTTTCTGTATGGAGTTAATAAAAAGTCATTCAAATATTCCATTCAGAACTTGTGTTCTTTTTTTTTATATCCGCAAGTTGAGAGATATCACTTTTTATATTTCATTATATTTATTTCTTGAAGATTCTATCATTATCTTCAGAAATCATTTTTGAAGGAACATCCATAAAGTTTGAAATAAAATTAAAAAGAGGAGGAAAACTAATATACTGAGATATGCAAGGATTGTTTTATATACTGAATTATGTTTTTAATCTGTAGGCAAGGAAGTGGAAGAGGACCGCTTTAATAAATAAGATATGTTTCTGATTATTAATTAAAGATGTTGTCTCTGATTATTAATTAAAGATGTTGTCTGGTTCCTATCCTCTTAGACAGAGGGTTAAAGAAAAGAGAATAGTGCATCTGTCATCGTTTGGTTGTTTTCTTTTTATTTCGGTTTCACCCCTTATGTTTGTGTTTGTTAAGAAAAAACTCTTGTATCTTATCTATATTAATAATTAAGTTGATACATTGGACTCATAATTTATGATCCCTTTCCACTTGGAACTTTGTTTCGTAAAAAGATAAAAACTTGCTACCATTGAAAAATAAAAAGAAACATGAAAAAAAATTTAACTAAACCATGTTTATAAACAAAAATAACATTCTTATATTATTTATGAAGTCAGAATTTTGTTTCGAGTCATCATGTTCGCTCTCAGCTGTGAAAATACCTTCAATGAAAATCATAGCAATATTTCATTTTTTTCTAATGATTTTAAATTTTAAAAATAATCCCCAATACCCTAATAAATTAATAATATTAATTTTTTTCTAATTTATTAAAAACAATTCATATAAAAATTATTTTTGTATCTCTCTTACACGTTAATATCTTAATTAATCAATATAAAAAATAAATATAAAAAACTTAAAATGTAAACTAAAACTCTTTGATCAAAAATGTAAGTGTACTTTGTTGTTTGTTGATATAGATAACTAAATTAAATTTCTTCGTTTAATACGGATATTAGAGACATTATGACCGGTTGTAAAGTTTACATCTAATGGGCTTTAAACCCATTCAGCATTTAACAAAACATCTCACCAATAATGAAACAACAGAGATTGAGACATTTACCGAGTGGTCTTTTCCGAACCTAAAACACGTTCTTTGGCTTCTGTATGCAATTTTAAACTATCAACATTTAAATAATCTTCGGTTGTATCAATTTTATTTTTTATTTACTTAAAGTTGGATTTTTCTCTAGCATCTATACTATTAAAGTAGAGACACAACTTAAGAAAAGTACACTAAACAAGCGCTTAACCTGTTTCTAAACAGTATTTAACCCGAAATTACCACCTAATTAACCTAATTAACCCGACCCGACGGATAAAACAAAGAACGCGGATCTTGAGTTACAACTTAAAATAAACCGACAGCGCAATTCGATTTTCAGTACAAAACCGGAAAAGAAGAATTCCTTTACAGAATGAAACATAATAAAAGGAATCTTAACAAAATGAAAGGTAATAACTTTCGTCATTAATTTCGAATTTAATGTACTCCAGCTCTGATCACCACACAATCTACAAGATCTTTCCAAATATTATAAGTGCATTTCAAATGTCGAATCCAAGATATCACTAACAACAATCAAAAGATACTCTCTTCCAACAAAATCTAAGGAGTCTTTCCACTAACCACGGAAAATCAAATTTTTTTTGTTATGAATAAACTTCCATTTCCATTCGATAACCTCAAGTACACTGTAAATCAACGATCTATACAAAGAATCGCTCCCAATACAAGTCACTCTCTCTCTCCAAATCTATGATCAATCGATAAAAAGCTTTACAAAATATCAGACTCTGTTTATAAACTCCAAAATCCCGTAACAGCAAAGCCTCTCTCACAGATAGAGTCTTTGCCTAAGTTTCTTCCACATCATCAAATTTTCCCTCCAATCCTTCACTCTCATTCTTCTTCTTCCTTGTATATACTTTCCAAGGCATATCAATACCCCCGTCCCCGAGATTCAGCTTGCCCTCAAGCTGGTAAGAAGGAAACTGATGCTTCAAGTCACGCACAAAGCAAGAGCTTTCATGAATTGGTAACCCTTTCAAAGAGACAAGGACTTCTAATCGTCAATCTTCGGAATATCTTGTCTCTAGAATTTGATCAGGTTCCACAACCAATTCATCCACCGGAGATAAAGCCTGTGAGAGAGGAGAAACCACATGATCTTTACCCAGAACCTGTTTCAACTGAGAGACGTGAAAGACCGGATGGATCTTAGAATCATCTGGGAGCTTTAGACGATATGCAACCTTCCCAATACGCTCCAAGATCTTAAAAGGGCCATAAAACCTCGTAGATAATTTCTGACACAAGCGTTTTGTGATAGAGGTTTGACGGTATGGTCTCAACTTAAAAAACACCAGAGAACCAACCTCAAAATTCACCTCACGTCGATGTTTGTCCGCATTATCCTTCATAATGCTCTGAGCCCGAGATAAATGTTCCTTCACTTCATTGATCATTTGATCTCTCTCTTGGAGCATTGCTTCTAACTCGCCATTTTGTGTAGCACCCTTTTCAAACTGTAAGAAAGATGGAGGCTCGCGCCCATATACAATCTGAAAAGGTGAGGTTTTAACCGCTGTGTGGTATGAGGTATTGTACCCAAGCTCGGCCCAGCTGAGAAACTTATGCCAATGTCTCGGGTGAGCGGAAGTGAAACACCAAAGATATGTTTCAAGACAGCGATTAAGTACCTCAGTTTGCCCATCGGTTTGAGGATGATAGGCAGTGCTGAATTTGAGTTGTGTTCCTGCTAGCTTGAACAATTCACGCCAAAAGTTACTATGAAAAATCTTATCACGATCAGAGACTATGGACCGCGGAAATCCATGTAGCCGAACAACCTCCTTCGTAAAATTTTGAGCTACATCCATAGCATTGAAGGGATGATGAAGGCTAAGAAAGTGAGCGTATTTTGATAGTCGATCTACCACCACAAATATCACATTCATTCCTTGAGAATTTGGAAGTCCTTCAATATAATCCATAGAGATATCTTCCCATATCCTCTCTAGAATCGGAAGTGGTTGGAGCAAACCAGCCGGTGATAGCGTGGAATGCTTGCTTGTTTGGCAAACTTGGCATTCCGCGACATGCTTCTGCACCATTTCTCTCATCCCTGACCAATGAAAATTTTCTTGGATGCGTTTAACAGTCCTCAACACACCAGCGTGACCACCTAGCATTCCATCATGGTACTCCTTGAGAATCAAAGGAATGAAACGAGAGGTGTTGGGAATCACCAAACGTTTCTTGTATAACAGTCTTCCCTCGATTAGCTGATACCCGGATTTCACTTCTTCTCCAGCTGAAATACGTGATATCACTTCCTGAATCTGATCACATTGATCAATCTCCTCATAGATGTCCTGTATTTCCAGAGATCTTGGAATAGTCATTGTCAATAGCAGATGAGTGACATTTTCCTGAACTGAATGATTGACTCCAGAGAGACCATTGATGATGGGATTTGTGTGTGGGTGTGAAATGATATGAAATGAGATGTGGTGGAATGCAACAGTGGTATATGAAGATGAGTGGTACAATCACAATCAATCAATTCCTCTTAACCATCATAGTCATTGAAGTATAAGAGGTTATCAATCCATAAGGGTGAATGTTGCTCTATGAGAATATGAAACACAAGAAAGTCAAGCAAATGATTAAAGAGATGTAACACTAACAACCTAATATAAATGAAAAGCAGTGCAATAAAAGTAAACAAAGCAGTGAAGTGTCAGCTCGACCAAGAGCTCGAGTCGAGTAGAGCAAAGTACCAGCTCGATCGAGTTTAGGGACGAGTTGAGACAAACAAAGCTAAAGGTGACGACTTTAACAAGATAAAGAGAGAATTAGGGTTCAAGACAGGGTTTTGCAATCAAAGGAATCTACACTTAATCAATCTAGCTCTTAAAACTCCTTGTATCAAGGCTTCTCTTGATATTGGGCTTCTCAATGCCTAGCCAACCCTTTCCCAAGGTGAAGGCTATCAACCAAGGAATGATCTCAGAAACAGGGGGTTAGCCAGTGAGAATCAAACCTTGGAGGCTATAGGATCATTGCCCAAACTAATCCATCCAACCCCTTAGACCTCTATTCTAGAGCAAGAGATATTGGAGCTCTTAGTGGATCTTTTCCAGCGAATGCCATCACTTTCGTGTGGGGAGTCGCCTAAGGACTTACAAGCCAGGGGTAGTGGTCATGTAGCCTTAAGATCTATCCAAAAGAGAGAGAATCTAGATTAAGACCATAAGCTAGAAGGATTAAGCATATGAAACCTCTAATCTATCCCATCTCAAACCCTAATGGGTAACTACTCACTACACATGAATGTAAACACAAGCAAATGCAATAAAAGAGACATCATAAGAAAGAGGAGATGAAATAAACAACTTTTATTGAAATAAGCAAGTGCAAATACAAAGAGATTAACCAGGATCTAGGATTCAAGAAGCAAGAGCTTCAAGAACACAAAGATGAGATTAGATCTCTAAAAAGTAAAAGACAATAAATTAAAGAAACTAAAACAAAATAATCTAAAGCTTGTGTTTTTTCGTGGCTAATGCCTTTAAATACAAAGAGGATTAGGTTTAGGGTCAAAGGGGAGTCAAAGGGAAGCAACATTTTTCGGGTTTGACTTTGACTCCTGGAAAAGCAGCTCGATCGAGTTGGAAACTGGCCGGTCGAGCTGGTGGGTCGAGTCCAACCAATATCGTCGTATCTTCTGAACCGCTGGTCCGAATGACATGAAACCACCTCCAGACGAAAGCTAACTCAATTATCCACAACTTCCAAGAAGAAGTCAGAGGCTGAATCGGAGTGGAAACCCTTCATTTGATACGATACTTCGGACGCATCTCACTAGCTCGACCGAGTGCGGGTCCGTACATGGGGCAGACAGAGTCTTTCCTTCCTCAACTAGTCTCCAGTGATAGGCAATGTTCCAATTAGCTCCAAATGACCTGATTAAGACATCAAACGTGCACATGTATGCAAATGCAAGCCTAAAACTACTATGTATGCAAAAGAAGGGAAAACATCAAGAAATGATGCTTGGGTGAATGAAACTATGCAAAAGATGCATAAAAGAAGGGCTAAAACCATGTAAAATGCAAGTACATCAACCATCTGCTGCCTTATTCTCAATTCCTGGTTTATAAACGATATCAAACTTATATCCCAGAAGTTTATGTAGCCAGCGCTGATACTCCAAATTCACTTCTCTCTGCTCCAAGAGAAACCTCAAACTCTTCTGATCTAATCTGACTATGAATCTTTTCCCCAAAAGATAATGTTTCCAACGCTGAATAGCTAAAAAAATTGCCATTAACTCTCTTTCATAAATCGGTTTCAGCTGTTCCTTCTCTGTTAATCCATGGCTAAAATAGGCAATAGGATTCTGATTCTGCATCAAAACTGCTCCCAACCCAAATCCAGAGGCATCTGATTCCACAATAAAAGTCTCTGAAAAGTCTGGTAAGGCAAGTACCGGTGCACACATCATGGCTTGTTTCAATTCATCAAACGCTGTTTGAGCTTCTGGTGTCCACATAAACTTGTCCTTCTTCAACAAGGACGTCAGTGGTTTAGCAATGGTCCCATAACCCCGAACAAACCTTCTGTAATAGCCCGTTAAACCAAGAAATCCACGAAGCTCCTCTACTAATTTTGGAGACGGCCACTTCTCCATAGCTACTGTTTTGCTTTTATCCGTTGCAACGCCATTCACTGAAATAAAATGTCCCAAATATTCCACTTGAGCCTGACCAAACGAACACTTTTTTCTATTCGCAAACAGCTTGTGTTCCCGAAAAAGTTTCAGAACAATCTCCAAGTGTTGTTCATGCTGTTGCAAATCGGAGCTATAGATGAGTATGTCGTCAAAAAATACAAGGACAAACTGACGCAAATAAGGTCGGAAAACCTCGTTCATCAATGCTTGAAATGTCGCTGGTGCATTGGTTAAGCCGAAAGGCATCACCAAGAACTCATAATGTCTATCATGAGTGCGAAAAGCTGTCTTTTCCACATCCTTATCAACCATTCTGATTTGATGATATCCTGACCTCAAATCAAGCTTCGAATACACTGCTGCTCCATGTTGGATCAATAACTGGTATAGGGAACTTATCAGGTATAGTCGCTCTGTTCAGGGCTCTATAATCAACACAAAATCTCCACGAGTCATCCTTCTTATTTACCAAGAGCACCGGACTTGAATAAGGACTATGGCTTGGTCTGATAATCCCTGCCTCTGGCATCTGTTTGACCAGCTTCTCCATCTCTTCCTTCTGTGCGTGAGGGTAGCGATAGGGTCTCACGGTAATCGGATTTGTACCATGAGTGAGATTGATTGCATGTTCTCTGTTTCTCACCGGTGGTAATTGAGTCGGAACTTCAAACAGGTCCTCATACTTCTGTAAGATAAGCTTCAACGAAGGTGGAGTTGTGATCTTCTCATCCACAATATGAGAATGTAATGTAATTCCATAATCCTTCTTCCTCAGTTGTTTCTCATATTTTGTTTCCAACGTCTTCAAGGAAAGCTTAGTGCCGTGAAGAGATGGATCGCCACAGAAAGTAACACATCTGTCTTTGTACTTGAACGCAAGTTCATGTGTAGACCAATCCATTTGGCACTTTCCCAACGTGCTCAACCACCGAACTCCCAGTATAATATCTGCACTTCCCAAATCCAAACTTATATAGTCTGCCTCAAACTCCACTCCAGCAACTTTGAATCCAACTCTTCTGCAAATTCCCAATCCATTTACTGTAACTCCTGTACCCAGTAGTATTTCCAAAGCTTCCACTTGCTGTGTTTTAAGATGAGCTTTCTTCACCAGAGAAGGAGAAATAAAGTTGTGTGTGGCTCTGCTATCCATCATCACTACTATGGATACGCGTCCTACATCTCCTCTGACCTTTGTTGTTGTTGGAGAAGATATACCTAAAAAGGCATTCAACGACAAAGTCATACATGTTGGTTTATCCTCCTTTTCATCCTCTATCGCATCATAGAACTCTTCTTCTAACAGCTCCACATCAAAGCCATTAATCACCGTCATCACTTGCAGCTCTTTATTTACACAAGCATGACCATAGAAATACTTCTCATCACATTTGAAGCACAATTTGTTTTTCTTCCTCCATTCAAATTCAGCTTGTGTGAGATGTCTTTTAAGCTTCCAATTGTATGGGAGCTTTGATTCCTGTTCCTTTGGATTCTGTTTGGCAACAGATTGACCAGGCTCCAATAAGGCGGGTTTTGTCTTCCAATTCCCTCCTAAGTTTGTTGATGAGTTCCGTGAAGGAAGAGCAGTGTCTGTAGGACCGCTTTTGACCTCAGTTACTCTCTTGTTTGCCATAGCTCTACACAACAATCCATCCTCCATTTGTAATATGGTTGCGATCATATGAGATAAATCTCTTGGCTCCTTCAATCTCACTATCTCACGCATCTCTGGTTTAAAGCCATCAACAAAAATTGCTTCCAACATTTCCTCAGCCACCCCTGAAATGAGAGATGAGAGCTCTTCAAACTCGTGCACATAATCTGCCACTGATGCCAACTGCTTGATTGACGCTAAACTCTGCTTCGGTGTGTTACGTTCTGGATTCCCAAATCTCACTAGCAGTCGTTTCTTGAACTCTGTCCAAATGAAAAACGGCATGCGTTTGTCTTCCCAATTGAACCAGCTTAACACTTCTCCTTCAGTGCTCAACGAAATCAACTCTAGTTTCTGATCCTCTTGATACTGACGGAAAAACATCTCAATTCTAGCAATCCAACTATGTGGATTCTTCCCGTCGAAGATCGGCATCTCCACTTTCCTGAGCATGCTATCGCGAGAAGGCAACACAGATCCAATATTCCGGGGTCCTAATTGAGTTTCGCTAGGGCCTGGTTCCGAGAAATCGGTGTTTACCTGAGGTCCGTGCGTCGATGTTGGACGGATCTGAGCTACGCCGTCGTCCTCCGCCTGAAATCGCGCCTGCATCATTTTCATCATCGTTTCCACCAAATTCGAGAGTTTCGCCACCGTACGATTTGTCTCCAATGCTTTTTCCTCCGCTTTCGATCTCCATTGTATCACCGATTCCATCGAATCCTGTAACTCTGCGAATCATTGCTCCATTGAACGCAAATCGCTTCCCATTGCTTCGTCTTCGGTTCTACCAACGTCACGACGCACCATTTGTTATGAATAAACTTCCATTTCCATTCGATAACCTCATGTACACTGTAAATCAACGATCTATACAAAGAATCGCTCTCAATACAAGTCACTCTCTCTCTCCAAATCTATGATCAATCGATAAAAAGCTTTACAAAATACCAGACTCTGTTTATAAACTCCAAAATCCCGTAACAGCAAAGCCTCCCTCACAGATAGAGTCTTTGCCTAAGCTTCTTCCACGTCATCAGATTTTCCCTCCAATCCTTCACTCTCATTCTTCTTCTTCCTTGTATATACTTTCCAAGGCATATCAGTTTTCCAAAAAAAAATCAAAGATTTATAATTGAATATCCCCTTCCATAAGAATATGCGTGTGCTAACGGGAAGCCCTAAGAAACCCTCCCATCTACTATAAATATACGATTAGAAAACCTAGAAAAACCACAGAAAAACACATCGCTTTTTTTTCCATCTATAATTATATTGAATTGAGAGAATACAAGGTGTTAGACACCAACCAAACTTACAAACCCATGACAATCATAAGCCGAACGAGATGAAAATACTCAGGCAGAAAAGCCGGCTTTTAATATACACCAACCAAACACATCGCTATTCTAATAGAAAAACTATCTTCTCGGCTTTTACAAGTATATCATCATACATATGAAGTCAAAACAGTGCTATGAGTAATGAGGCAACTTCACTAAATAACTTTTTTATATCATTCTCGATATATTCTAATTGCAATTTTCAATCTGTTTCAGGATCTGAAGAGAGAACATCTTCAAATGTTTTTTCAAAATTCTACTTTCAAGTATGATTATTTGTCAGGCGTTCACAAAGCATAAGATATCTAACCTTTCAAGTCTTCTTGGTGAATCAATGTGAAAATTTTCCACATTTGGAGGCAGTTCACGGCACTCTCTGGTGAAACAATGGAGGTCATATAGGCAGACGAAACTGTAAGAATACATCCAATTAAACATGTCTATTATTTGTTTCACACTGTCTTTGAAGTAGTAAATGTATCAGTTTCGTGTTTTGCACCTTTTTACACGTTTTCAGAACTTCTACAAAACCCATGGCTGCACACTTCCCAATTCTTTCCTAAACGACATCAAGCCTTCCCAAAACATTTGGAAAATCCAAGATGAAGTCGTGCATTCACGAAAACAATCAATCAACAAATCAAGAGAGCCATGTCTCAAAGAGGTATTTCGGAATTTGGGAGTCTCGGTTTTATAACAACTGTTTCTTATCTTCTTTATTGTCACATGACTGAATCAAGAGATAATATCTCATCAAAGATCGAACAACACGGAAAAAAATTGACTGAGCGAAGGAAGTCATAATTAGAATTATACTTAAGCATCGCTATCTACTTTATGTGGGTTGTTTTAGATATGTAGGGCACTGTTATTATGTTTTATGTCTTACTATTTTTTTTGTTCTTCTATGAAACAAAACAAATATCTATCAATGAAACGTTACATCTTTTCTATGAAACAAACAAAAATTCTATCAATGAAGCGTTACATCTTTAAAGTTCCACTCTGAAGTTAAACATTAAAGCGGGAGTTGTGTTGGAGGAAATGCACAGCTAAGGAAAGCTTAACAATCAAGAATGTATTGTATTCACACAAAAAATACGTATAAGAAAAGTTTTCTATTCAGCAAAAGAAAAGTTTTAAAGAGATCATCAGAACAAAGCTGTCTGTCTAATGCAATTCAGTTAATCTGGAATAAACATATTAGTTGTAATGACAGTTCTCTTCCACTTAGTCCTCACTTTCATATAGAACACAACTCTTCATTAAAATGATCAAAAAACAAAATCCAATCAATAACATTTTTTGTTATCTATGATCTCAATATCACTAATTCTAATCCATACAAGCGAAAAATCTACTGAAACATTTCCACCTACGTTCACAATTATCAACCAAATCGTTTTCAAAACTCACTGTTTTCTCTTAAGAAGATGAAGACCGCACGACTTTCCTGCCAGATCAACTGTCGAAGAATTTGAATACGGAGACGATGACCATGGAAACAGAGAAGAAGAGGAAGAGGTAACGAAAACAAGGATATCCGAATCCCATCCAATTGCGGGGAGAATCGAGGAAGAGTAAAGGAGAATCGAAGAAGAAGAGCATCCTTACCCATGTAGCTGAGAATCAAAGAACCCAACTTTGGATTCCTTGAGATTTCCCAAATTTATATATCTGTTTCCCGAAAATTGCAAAATCTCACAAATTGAAGAGATCGTTGTAGGAGAAAAAGGTCGAATTGGCTAGGCGGAAGAGATAATGGGCTGGAAGGAAGAAGAAGAAGATAAGATGAAGAATCAAAGCAGCAAAGAAGAAGAAGAATCGGTGGATTAATACCCCAAAAAAATGAAGAATCGGTGAAAAAGAAACGCATAAGAGAAGACGGTGACTGATTAACAAAAAAAACTTGGATGAAAAAGAAAAAAAAAAAACATTGATTAATGTCGTTTACAAACAACAAAGGCCCAAGCTGATTATTTTCGTTTTTGGGCTTCGTAATATTTTAACACAATTAATAAAGACAGGTCCAATACGTTTTAAATAATTCTGATTTTTTATAACTTAATTTTTCATTGATTATATCATTTCCACATTATCCAAAACATGAAAATATAACAATTTGTAACTCATCCAAAAACAACTCAAACATTAAAAAAATATTCAATCTTAAAAAGTTAATGTTCACAAATTTAATTAACTCAGTAGTTACCAATATCACAGATCAGAACCAACATTCTTTTAAATCTGGATTGTTTTGGAGAGACAGAAAGAAAGAATATATTTGATAAATGTGAAAATTTGTAATAACATTAATATGTCTCTTGGAAAAAATTACAAAAGAAGAGAACAAAAAATAAGATCTACAAATTTAGGTTTGTTGTGTACCGAGAATGTGTGTTGTGGATAGCACATATTATCAGTCTCATTAAGACAATAATCTCTTATTATTATTATCAGTCTTATAATATTATTGGGACCATAAGAGTTTTTAAAACATTATTATCTTATCGAATTATGTCATATTTTACACCGGCCCAACCCGGGACAGAAGAAATTTATTAGTTTATTGTGTTTATTAATTTACCGGGTATTAATTTATAGAGTTTCTACTGTATGTTGTTAGTCATCTAATGTGAGTAAAAAATAGTAACACTGACGAAGCTTCATATTTATGTAAATTTTTTTAATATAAATTAAATATTGTACTTTGTACTTATTATACATTAATGATCTGGCGAAGTTAATTTATTAACAAAAATTATTAACTTTCTACTTTGTAAAATCATAATATTATGTTAAAATAAAGTTCACAACTTCCTATGTTATAGTAACATTTGTTCGACTAAGTTCACAAATTTAGTTAACCCAACGTTGGTGAGAACCAACATTTGTTTAATTGACTAAAGTTCTAACTTCTTGTGTTATAGTTACATTTGTTCAATTGACTAAATTTCACAAATTTAATGAATCCAAGGTTAACAACATCACGGGTGAGAACCAACATTTGTTCAATTGACTAAAGTTCACAAATTTAGTTAACTCAAAGTTAACAACATCACGGGGGAGAACCAACATTTGTTTAATTGACTCAAGTTCCCAACTTACTGTGTTATAGTTACATTTGTTCAATTGACTAAAGTTCACAAATTTAATTAACCCAAAGTTAACAACATCACGGGTGAGAACCAACATTTGTTCAATTGTCTAAAGTTCACAAATTTAGTTAACAACATCACGGATCAGAATCAACATTTGTTTAATTGACTGAAGTTCACAACTTCCTGTGCTATAGTTACATTTGTTCAATTGACTAAAGTTCACAAATTAATTAACCCAAGGTTAACAACATCACGGGTGAGAACCAACATTTGTTCAATTGACTAAAGTTCACAAATTTAGTTAACCCAAGGTTAACAACATCACGGATCAGAATCAACATTTGTTTAATTGACTGAAGTTCACAACTTCCTATGTTATAGTTACATTTGTTCAATTGACTAAAGTTCACAAATTAATTAACCCAAGATTAACAACATCACGGGTGAACCAATATTTGTTCAGTTGACTAAAGTTCACAAATTTATTTAACCCAAGGTTAACAACATCACGGGTCAGAATCAACATTCTTTCAAATTTGGGTTAAAAGAACGAACATATGTGGTCAAATGTGAAATATTGTACAACATATGAACTCACTAAATCAAACCGAGCGAACCCAAAAAATGATCACATATTTACTTTATATTATTCAGACTTTGGTTTCAGTTAGATTTAGTTCGTTCGGGGTCATAATCTAGCATTAAATAATGAAACTATAAAAATTTATAACTTACCAAAAAACATAATCAATGATCACATATTTATTTTATCTCATACTAAGATAATCAAATAATACTGATTCATCATTACATATCACAAATATATATACTGTTATTTGCATAAGTACAATGTCAATAGTTAAAGTTTTCTTATCAAAAGTTACACATCCCGTGATTATTTCTGATCGTAAATTTTTAGATTTGGTGAATTAACTTTCCGAAGAAACGGAAATAACAAATACGGTTGGCAAATTTGAAATATTATATAATATTATAACTCACCAAATCAAACCAAGCGAACCCGTAAAACGACACATATTTATGTTATATTTATTCATACTTCAATTTCGGTTTGATTTTGTTCTCTCGGGGTCAGAATCTAGCTTCAAATAGTAACAATTTGTAACTCACCCAAAAATAACATTAATGATCGCATATTTATTTCATCTCATCCTTAGATAATCAAAATAACACTAATTTATCATTATATCTCACAAACATATATACATATATACTTATAAAAATCATAACATCCCGTGCTTCCCAAGCACGGGTCATGACCTAATTGATGATTATGATCACTCCCATCATGACCACGTTATTGTCATGGTTCCTTTTTATTTGTTTTCCCTCTTTTTATTCTTCAGTTTACACATGCTTTTCACCCAATTCTGTTTGGGATTTAAAATCCAAAACGAACAAGCTAAGGTACTACGAATATGCAAGCATTACTTCATTTAGAATGATATGCGTTGCTTTTCAAAATTGTTTGGAAAAAAGATAATCTAAAAAGTAGTAAGATATCGTTTAAGGTTGATCTTGTGATTGGTGATAGAGACTATGTATATATATAAAGTTGGTATGATTCTCTTCTGCTGGTGACACCTCAGCAAAACTGGGTGCCTCTAAATTCATAATTTCAGCATTAACATTTAATATAATAGTTATCATTCATTAAATAGGCTTAACAAGAATATGAAAAGTCATTTACAAAAAAGAGAAAGATTTTACATAAATCTATAAAAACTATTATATAGTAGTTCTCGAGATATTATAGAAAGAATATTGTTCTTAAGTATTTTGAGACAAAATGAGACGAGATCGGCAGAACGAGACGAAAAAAGCAGAACGCGAGAAGAGGGGAATTTTGTCTACTTCTTTTTATATTAAATTAAGAGACGGAATGTAAAGGGACATGATAGGACAAGACGGATATTTCGCCTACCCATAAATATATTTAGGGACATAACGGAAAGAAACAACAAAAACATGAAGAGACAGAACAAGACGGAAAAGAACAAAATGAGATATGATGGGTTGGACGGGACAAGACGGACATGTTGGATAAGACGGAATGAAAAGAAACGGAATGGGACGAGACAAGATGAAAAGAGACATTATGGGACAGGAAATAACGAGACGGGACTTTCGCATACCCCTAATTATATTTATTTATGGGACATAGATAGGACAAAACAAAAAGAAACATAATAGGATAGGATGAGACTGGACGGGGCGGACAGGACGAACGGGACGAGAAAGAATGGGACAAGATGAAAAGGAACGAAATGGGAGAGGATGGTACAAGAGAGAAATTTTGCCTACCCCTAATTATATTTAGGGAACAAGACGAGAAGAAACAGAAGGAACGGGATAAGACAAAACAAAATGGAAAAGAACATAATGGGATATGTTGGGATTGGATGGGACGGGGCAGACATGACAAACGGGATAGGAAAGATAGACATGATGAAAATGAACAATATAGGACAAGATGGGACAAAATTGACAAGGATTTTGTCTAACCCTAATTATATTTAATTATTGTGTGTATATTTTTAAAAATAATAAACCAGAAAATAAATTATATTTGCAAAAACAATAAAATTAATAGAACAATATAAATTCCCGCGCGAAGCGCGGTTCACCCCTAGTACTTTAAAAAATTAATGGTTAAATAATCCAAAATTTGATGATATTAAAATAAAAGGTTGACGGAGAAAGATTGACATTACATGCAAGTAGAAATGCAAAAAAGAAAAAATTAATGTCAAATAATCTGAGATGAGAAATTCCTTTTTTAGGAGCTTATGAAACCTAATGATTAAGATTAAACATCATCATGTGATTTGAATTTGGATAGACATCATATCCATATTTAATCATATGATTCGAATTTGATAGACATCATATCCATATATATTTTAGAATGAATTTAAAATTATAAAAACATATTTAATAACAACTGGATAGCAACATAACGAAAAATTAATATATATTACAATCTATTTACTAACAAAATGAGTCGAAAAAGGTAAAAAAGATAAGATGAGACGAAGAAAATTAAAAATAAAAATAAAAAGAGGATTACACATAGAATGCTGTTTAGGATGTATATTATACAATAGCAAAGTCAACATGATAATTATAATTTGGTATAGTTACTGATCTAAAAAATAAAATAATAACAACTTTTTTTAAAAAAACAAAAAAACTAAAAAAAAAAATCAAATACAGGTGTATAATATAAGGTTGTAATGTACCCTAGGGGGGAGCGTGGTTTATGGTGTAGGGTTTACAGTGTACAAATATTTAGGTGTACAAAGGAGAAGGGGGAGAGGGGTGGAGGGGAGGGGAGGGGAGAGGGGGGGGTTGTAATATAGTTGTCCAACAACATATGTAGGTCTGTAACCGTTGTATCGATAAAACAACGCATTGTAGGGTTCAAATATCCACTGATCAGAATGCACAAATGTTTCCAGCGTTAAAACGGTGGCGACAACAAGGATAAGTGAACCCTTTGCAGATGAGAGTCATGGCCAAATACCTTCTTGATTCCGAACAGTCTCTTCAATGGAGAAATAGAACGAAACAATCAGTTCTCGATGCATCATCAAGAGTCTAAGTGATTCCAATCTGTTTTTGAAAGCACTAGGTATGTTGATTATAGAATTTCCCCTTTACACTTCCACTCTAGACTTTCTGACTTCGAGAAGCTCCAGTTCAAAGGATTTGTATTCTTAACTCGGAAGACTATGCTACGCCACTTTGATAGATTGAGAGTATGTTGGGTTTGGCAAAGCTGGGGGCACTTCAAGCAGATGAGAGAGCTCATGTTCCTCTTTTGAAACCTTCACCACTCAGTTCCATGCTCTCTGTAACACCCATTGCCAGACACACTGAGTACGACATAGGACAACATGATCAAAGCCATGTGGCAAAGTCAACACTGCCAACCATTGGATCGGTTGCTAAGACGTACTTCATAACCAAAATCCACCAACTTGACTTGAACAGACACTTCTGTCTACTAACCTACAAAACAATGGGGAAGAGGGGGGGGGGAAGGAATGGGCAAGTCACCACACAACCTATTCATAGCTATACATAGCACACACCATGTCATTTCGACACACACTTACACATCACGTCCTATAGACGCAGACACCACACAGTAGGTACGCATATCATTTCGGTGCATACACGCCAACTTGCTGATATACCTCTATTTTACATGCTTTTTATATGGTTTTACTATGCTTTTCATAAGGTTTTTAATGGCTTTCTGATCTAAAAAGGTAGTTTTTATGGATTTATAGTACTTAGAGTCTTAACAGGTCAAAAGATGTATTTTGGAGCAAAACAAAGGATTTGGACTTCAAGACCGCTCTGGGACTTAACTAAACTCTTTTCTTTGGATTTTCCCAACTTTTACCACTTTTCTGGTTTTGACACCCAACTCGATCGAGCTCGAGTTGGCACCCCCAAACTTAGCCTGAAAACAATCCCAAGAGAACTAGACAACTAGAACTACTGCCCCTGCCGGTTTAAACACAACACCTTATGCTAAGCAAAGCCAAGAAAGGTTCTCACAATCGCACAAGAGATAATATGGGGTTTGAAATGAAAAAGGCTTAGGTTTAAGGTGTGGTAACTGTCTCAAAGATGGAGATCAGCTATCTGGACAAGCAAGAGGGATATGAAATGGTAAAGAATGTCCAGATATGTATGTGGTAGCCATGAGTTGAAATCAAATGCAAGCATTGGTAATTAAAGATCAAGTTATGGTTCAAATAGATAGGGAAATGCATCAAATCACAGCAATGGTTGAATGAGATGTGCATGCAGCGATATGATCAAGATAAACATGGTTCTTGCTGCTCAATCAATCTCACCCTAATGCACAAAAGAATCTAAAAACAGGGCACTCAAGAAATCGCAAATGATGAACAAGTTTTCAAAGTCAAATCAACAATGCAAGTGAAAATGATGCAATCCTAAACAAGTCTAACAAATATGAATGCAAAAAGATGAAAATATTTTTGGATTTTTTGAAAATTTTATGATTTTTTTGGTTTTTCTATGCAAAAGATAAATGAAAAACTAAGAACAAAGAAAACAAGGTTAAATCATCTCTTGAACCCTCCCCCAAACTTAAATCACACAGTCCCTTGTGTGAGAAAATTTAGTGAAAGATTCAAGAGGGCAAAACCAAGAAAAAAAATGCAAGAAAATATGAAATGGTATTACAAGGGTTGGTGTTTGGATACCTCAGTGCCCCCCAAAGAACTGGGAGGCAAGGTCGTGGTCTGGAGAGGGAGACGGCCATCAGGAGCACTCCACTCGACTGGGTTCCTGTCAGCTCGATCGAGCTTGGGCTCCTCTTCCTCTTCATCTCGAAGTGGTGTGGCTTCCTTGGCCTTGGTGGAGCTGGCTCGCTCGAAGCGGTTGTAGGAGTCCATCGGTCTGAGGAAGTCCTGGTAAGGGCTGGATCGTACTCGAATCCAGGGTTCTCAAAAGGCTCCTCCAGGTCAACTCGACCTCAGCTCGATCGAGTTGAGTTTCCTCTGTTTGGACTCGATCGAGTCCGGTGGTCGAGTTGGAGCGTCTGGCCTTGGAACTCTTCCTCCTTCTCTGCGTGTTGTCTCTCCTTCCCTTGGCTCGAATGAAGAGGCTCTGTGAGGCTCTTGGGCAGGGAGCCTCCTTGGAGTGGTGAGGAGTGATCTACTCCTAGGGAATGTGGGCCATGGTGTCTTCTTCTTGCTTGAAGAACCAGAAACCTTCTTCTCCAAACTCTTGATCTTGCTCACCATCTTGTCCATGGACTTTTGCATCTTTCTCATGGCTTTCCCTTGCCACTTGTTGAACCTTTGGAGAAGTCCAATCCTCTTGTGGCAGCCACAACAGAGGGGTTCATCCTTGGAGCCTCATACTCCTCAAAATAGTAGCACTCAGGCTCACCCAAATCCGCATTCACTGGCGTTGTCCTCAACTCGATCCTCAGCTCGATCGAGTTCAGGCTCCTCTTCTCGCAAATCATCCTCATGCCCAACTAATGTGAAGGGGGTCTGAAGTCAATGTTGTCCTCCTACAACTGTGGTGAGCTCAGGGTTGGGCAGAGAAGCTTGGAAGGGCCAGCCAATGGATGTGTGAACTTGAATTGGAACCTCCCATCCAACTCCTTGTGTTCAATGAGGAGGTTGGTCTTGCAAAACTTGATGTCCATCCATCCTGCTGGAGTAGACCTTCTCTTGTCCAAATGGACTCCAGCTGCACAAGGATTGGTGATGACCCTCCAACACTAAGCTTTCTTCCTTTTGAAACGAGTGCTATAGGCTGTGTCTTGTAGGAGAGTAGCTGTCAAGGAGAGGCATGAGGTTCCCTGCGTGATTCTATCTCCTCTGATCTTCTTCCCATCCTTGTGCGTGAGATGATGGGCTTGATTCCCATGTCAAGGAGCTTCACTTCTCCTTCATTGATTGTCCCAGTGCCTTCCTTGCAAAGAAGGTGTTGGCAAGGCCTTGTGCACATATCTCAGCACTGGGCTCCTGATCTGAGCAGCCTTGACCTTGAGGAAGAGTAATCCTCCTCAGCGATTGTAGCCCAACTCTTTGGAGCTCATTCTCCTTGATATCCCAATGGGTTCCCTCTCCATAAGTGAAACCAAAAGGATCTCCAACTGCCTGAAGGTATCACCTTCCTTTCTCCCTTGCCAAGAACGTGATCCATCCCCAACCTTGGTCCAACTCAGCTCGATCGAGCTCCATACTTGTGGAACCTCATTGATGCCAAAACTCACAAGTGAGCTCCTTGTATGACTCCATGCGGTAGAGAAGAACTTGGCCAAGCGCATGTTCTTGAGGACCAACTCCACATCCTCAAAGATCCCAAGAGCCTTCATTGTGTCATCATGTGGGTACTTGGTCTCCACAAAGTCCATGGAGAAGAGAGCATCATAGTGCTCTTGGTACATGGGGAGCTCATCCTCTCTTCTCTGACTCCTCCTCCATGGGCACATTCTCATTGCTCTCATGCTCACTTCCTCAATCTCTTGATTGACCTCTTCCCCTTCTTCACTTGAGAGTCATCACTTCTCCTCTTATGTTCACCCCAATCTCAAACTCTCCCAATTCGCTCTCACTGCTGATGGGTCATTCCTCTCTTGGTCCTTCTCTCTTCCCTCAACCTCTCAATCTCTTCCTCATCTTCCTTGGTTATTGTCTTTAGCATTCTCCTTGCTCCTCTCATTATCTCCTCCTTTGTGAAGCTGCTTGCTTCCTTCACCTCTCAACATCTTAAACTTGTTGCTTCTTAAGTTGGGTTCCTGAAATGCATCAAAAACTCAAGGAATTAGAGTTGTAATCATTGGTTCGGTCAACTCGACACTCAGCTCGATCGAGTCAAAAAACTCGAGTGACAAACTCGATCGAGCTAAGTGAAAACAGAGTATAACCGAACCTAATCAAGTATTAAGAGCTGGAAAGGATGCTAATCAATCAAATTGAACCAAGAACATCAAGTAAATGGAACAATAAGCAATTCTAGTGAAAAAAGCATCCTAACCAATTACCAAACTCAAATTCAATTTTAAGCACATGCAACAAGTTTAATGGCAAAACAGAGGTGAGGTGAGGCAAATTCACAAAATTATACATGAGGAATATGAAAGCAATTACTCAAGAACAAGTCCACAAGGGACACATGCAATCAAAATCAAAGAAACAAGCAATAAGGAATCGAGATGAAGGAAAAGGGTTTAGGGTTCATACCTTGCTTGGATGATGATTGAAAGAACAGTAGCTAGAACTAAAGCAAAACAAGATAGAACAAGAGAAATCGCAAAAACTTAAGAGAAAGAGAGATTTCGATTTTTCTTGTGAGATGAGAGAGATGGTGATTTTCAGAAAATTTTGAGTGTGGGAGAGAGAGGGGTTCGATCGAGTTATGGGGAAGAGGGAGTGTTTGAGATGTGTGGTTGAGATTAAAAGATGAATTAAAGAGGGGACAAAAGCTAGGGTTTTCTGATCGATTTAGGAAGTGGGGGACCAAAATTACTTGTGGGACCCACTCCCTTGACCAAGGAAACGGTTAGAAATTTGAAATTCAAAAACTTACCTTGGTCGAGTTGTGGAACTCGATCGAGTTGCCCTTGTTTCTAGCTCGATCGAGCTGTCGGTCGAGCTGGCTTCTTTGTCACCTAAACTTAACTTATGAAAGGTTAAAGACACAAAACTAGATAGAAATTGCATAAAAAGTATGTACAAGGATAAACATGGGACTTCCTCCCAAGTGAGCTTGTTTAAGGTCCCATAGCTTGACCTTTACCTCTTAGGCATTGGTTGAGCTAGTCCCACCATCAAGGGTGATAGTGAGGACTTGAGACAGAAGCTCCTTTAGCTTGGTTGGGTCCCTGGACTGTTCTGAAGTGACCAAGGCCTTGGCTCTAGAGAATGGCCTTGATCTCCCCTTGTACCTTATCTTGTACTCAATCTTCCCATTTTCAAACTTGGTGGGGAACAAGGTCATTGTGAGCTGAGATGGCTTGACTGAAGGGGCCTGAGCTGGTGGATCCTTTCTTTTATCTCCTGGTGCCTTAGAGGCTGCATCCTCCCCTTCTTTTTAGAGCCCTTCCTAGTGGCTCATCAAACAAAGCTTGAAGGCTTTCTTCATCAAGCACACAAGGGGCTTGAACAAGTCCTATCAGCTCGTGGCCTATCAGAACGTGGTTTCTCAACTCTAGCCCTCTCAAGCGTGGCTTCTCAATCCTTGGTCCTTTCAACTCCTTGGTCCTTCTCAACCTTATCCTTCACAACTCTTGGTTCTTTGTCAACCCTTTCCTTCACAACCTTTGTAGCTTCATGACTCTGAACTGAGAGTTGCTTTCAATTGTGGCACAAAAGTCTGAACCTCTAGGCTGCAAGCGATATGACACCAAACTATTCACCTTGTGAAGAATCACTTCTTGCTTGTGAAAGTCTATTGAAGCGCCAACTGTGCTAAGGAATGGGGTTCCCAATAGCAGAGGTAGATCCTTCTCTTCTTCCATCTCCATCACAGTAAGATCAGTTTGGATGATGCATTCTCCAATTTTCAAGTGATAGTTCTTGAACACACCAAGAGGAGACTTTGAAGTTGCATCTCCAAACATGATTGAAGTAGTAGGGCGCTGCAAGCTCCAGCAATGCCTAGCTTCTCTGCCATTGTGAGAGAGATGATTGATGCTTGCACCAGAATCCACCAAGGCATTGTCAAGCTCAATATGCCCAAGTGTGCAAGGGAGAGTGAATTTCCCTTGATCCTTCACCTTTGGTAGAAAGTAGGTGAAGTAAGCAGGTTGATTTGGTGAGTAGACATCTCCAGAAGCTCAGAAACCTTTTCCTTGTGAGCCAGAACATCTTGAATCAACTTCATTTGCTCAAAGGCCTCACTCATGCTCGACCAAGTCCATTACCCAAAGGGTTTCCATTCCCGTCTGGTACATCCATGGTTTCAGTAACAACCACCTCAGGTTCTGCTTGTACCCTCTGAGTTCTCTGACTTCTCTTTCTGCCCGTGGTGAAATCTAGCTCTACCAAGTCTTCAGTTATTCAACTCGATCGAGTTCGCATGCAACTGCAAAATGAATCAAAAACCCAGCAATACAAAGAACAGGGGTGGGATAGCTTGATCGTCCAAGTGTAATGTAACCTCAAATGCAACAAAATTCAACCCAAATGGCAACGGCGCCAAATTGATGATAAGATTTGTGTGTGGGTGTGAAAGATATGATATGAAATGTGGTGGAATGCAACAGTGGTATATGAGATGAGGTGGTAAGATGCAAAACACAATCAGAATATACATTCCCCTTAACCATCATAGTCATTATAGTATAAGGGGTATCAATCCATATGGGCAAAATTGTCAAGCAGACACTAGATGAAATGGTGGTAACTCTAACAACCTAATGAAACAGAATGTAAAGCGATAAAGTAAAGAAAGCAGTAAAGCAAGCAGCTCGACCAAGGACTCGAGTCGAGTGGGAACAGAGTAACCAAGCTCGATCGAGTTATGGGTCGAGTTGAAGTAAAAAGCGATAAAGGCAGGAACTTTAACTAGCTAATGCGAATATTAGGGTCTAAGACACGGTCTTACAATCAGAGGAAAGCTATACTTAATCAATCTTGCTCTCAAACAACTTGTATCAAGGTATCTCTTGATATTGAGCTTTTCAATGCCTAGCTAACCCTTTCCCAAGGTGAAAGCTATCAACCAAGACTTGATCTCAGAAACAGGGGATTAGCCAGTGAGAATCAAGCCTTTTCCAACGATTTCCATCACTTCCATGTGGAGAATCGCCTATGGACATACAAGCCAGGGGTAGTGGTCATGTCGCCTTAAGGTTTGTCCAAAAGAGAGAGATTTCTAGATTAAGAACATAAGCAAGAAGTATTAAGCATAAAGATCCCCTAATCTAGCCCATCTTTGACCCTAAAGGAAACTACTCACTACACATGAATGTAAACACAATCAAATGCAATAAAGAAGACATTAAAAGATAGAGGAGATAAAGATAAACAACTTTTATTGAAATAGCAAAGTGCAAAAACACAATAACAAAGCCTAGATCTAGGGTTCTATGAGCAAGAGCTCAAGAACACAAAGAGAGGCTAAAAAGTAAAAAGGGAAATGGAAATACAAGATTAAATAAAAGTTGAGCAAAAGCTATGTTTAATTCGTGGCTCAATGCCATTTATAGTAAAGCAAACTAGGTTTAGGGTCAAAGGGGAGTCAAAGGGAAGCAACATTTTTCGGGTTTGACTTTGACTCCTGGAAAAGCAGCTCGATCGAGTTGGAAACTGGCCGGTCGAGGTCTCCTAGACCAATCGGTCGAGGTTGCCTAGCTCGACCGAGTCCATTGCCCAAAGGGTTTACATTCCCCTTTGGTACATCCATGGTATCAGTAACTAGCACCTCAGGTTCCACGTATACCCTCTGAGTTCTCTGACATCTCTTTCTACCCGTGGTGAAATCTAGCTCGACCAAGTCTTATGTTGTTCGACTCGATCGAGTTCGCATACACCTACAAAAAGAATCAAAAACCCAGCAATACAAAAAACAGGGTGGGATAGCTTGATCGTCCAAGTGTATTAGAAACTCCAATGCAACAATATTCAACCCAAATGGCAACGGCGCCAAATTGATGATAGGATTTGTGTGTGTGATGTGATGATATGGTATGAAATGTAAATGAGGTGGAATGCAACAGTGGTGTATGAAGATGAGATGGTATGGATGCAAAACACAATCACAATCAATCAATTCCCTTAACCATCATAGTCATTGAAGTATAAGGGTATCAATCCATAAGGGTGAATTTACTCTATGAGAATATGCAAACACAAGAAGTCAAGCAAAGTAAATGAGATGGATGTAACACTAACAACCTAATGAAACAGAAATGCAATGCAATAAAGTAAAGAAAGCAGTAAAGCAACAGCTCGACCAAGGACTCGAGTCGAGTGGAACAGAGTAACCAAGCTCGATCGAGTTGAGGGTCGAGTTAATGTAAAAAGCGATAAAGGCAGGAACTTTAACAAGCTAATGCGAAATTAGGGTCTAAGACAGGGTTTACAATCAGAGGAAGGCTATACTTAATCAATCTTGCTCTCAAACAACTTGTATCAAGGTATCTCTTGATATTGAGCTTCTCAATGCCTAGCTAACCCTTTCCCAAGGTGAAAGCTATCAACCAAGACTTGATCTCAGAAACAGGGGGTTAGCCAGTGAGAATCAAGCCTTGGAGGCCATAGGATCATTGCTCAAACTAATCCATCCAACCCCTATGAACTCCATTTCGAGAGCAAGAGTTATTGGAGCTCTTAGTGGACCTTTTCCAACGATTTCCATCACTTCCATGTGGAGAATCGCCTATGGACATACAAGCCAGGGATAGTGGTCATGTAGCCTTAAGGTTTGTCCAAAAGAGAGAGATTTCTAGATTAAGAACATAAGCAAGAAGGATTAAGCATAAACATCCCCTAATCTATCCCATCTTAAACCCTAAAGGAACTACTCACTACACATGAATGTAAACACAACCAAATGCAATAAAGAGACATTAAAAGATAAGAGGAGATAAAGATAAACAACTTTTATTGAAATAGCAAAGTGCAAAAACACAATAACAAAGCCTAGATCTAGGGTTCTATGAGCAAGAGCTCAAGAACACAAAGAGAGGCTAAAAAGTAAAAAGGGAAATGCAAATACAAGATTAAATAAAAGTTGAGCAAAAGCTATGTTTAATTCGTGGCTCAATGCCATTTATAGTAAAGCAAACTAGGTTTAGGGTCAAAGGGGAGTCAAAGGGAAGCAACATTTTTCGGGTTTGACTTTGACTCCTGGAAAAGCAGCTCGATCGAGTTGGAAACTGGCCGGTCGAGCTGGTGGGTCGAGTCCAACCAAAATCGTCGTATCTTCTGAACCGCTGGTCCGAATGACATGAAACCACCTCCAGACGAAAGCTAACTCAATTATCCACAACTTCCAAGAAGAAGTCAGAGGCTGAATCGGAGTGTAAACCCTTCATTTGATACGATACTTCGGACGCATCTCACTAGCTCGACCGAGTGCGGGTCAGAACAGAGTCTTTCCTTCCTCAACTAGTCTCCAGTGATAGGCAATGTTCCAATTAGCTCCAAATGACCTGATTAAGACATCAAACGTGTATGCAAATGCAAGCCTAAAACTACTATGTATGCAAAAGAAGAGAAAAAACAAGATATGATGCTAATGGATGTAAAACTATGCAAAAGATGCATAAAAGAAATACTAAAACTATGTAAAATGCAAGTACAGCAGTGGTTGGTGGGGAAAGCCAGGTGGTATGTGCATTTGCTGACCAGGAAAAGTCCCTTGAGGGCCTTGGTAGTTGTTTTTAGGACCATACCCATGTTGTGGGGCTTGACTCGATCGAGCTTGCTGTTGTTGAGGATAGACCTGGTCCTGAGGGTTAGCAACATCAGTGTTTCGGTATGACATGGCTGGGTTGGACTTGTAATTATAGTATCCTTTGTTGTAACCTCCTTGCCCATTGCTCATGTAGCACACTTCAGCAAATTGTGTATCCTCCCCTTCTTGGACTGGTTCCATCTCTTCAGCAGACACAAAATTGACTTTCTTCATTGTGGACTGAGCTAAGATAAGCTTATCCAACTTCTCATTCAATGATTTGACATCTTTTCTCAATTTCTCATCTGACTCGATCGAGTGGTGGGTCGAGCTCCGGTTGGTGCGATCATACTCTTCTCCATAGCTTCCATTGGAGTTTGCAATGTTTCCACAAGCTGCCAGCCATCATCCACATCCTGATTAGGAAGTTCCCATTGCTGGCTGTGTCCAACATCTCTCTATACCTTGCCAAGCAACCTCTATAAAGAGTAGAGAGCAATGACTCATTGTTGAATCCATGATGGGGCACTGACTTGTGTAGCCCTTTGAACCTCTCCCAAGCCTCAGCAAAAGTCTCATTGTTCCTCTGTATGAAGCTCGATATCTCACTCCTTAGCTTGGCTGTGCGACCGGTGGAGAAAAACTTAGCAAGAAAGGCCTTCTTGCATTCATCCCAAGTGGTGATTGTGCCATGGGGCAAGCTCTTCTCCCATTGGTGAGCTTTGTCAGCAAGAGACATAGGAAGAGTCTCAGCTTGATGGCATCTTCAGAGACACCATTGATCTTTGTCAAATCACATAGCCTATCAAACTCATCAAGGTGATCAATGGGGTCTTCACTTGGCAATCCATGGAACATCTTGTTCTGCACAAGGTTGATCATTCCCAGCTTGATCTCAAAGTTGTGGTTCTGCAGGTGGTGGGACAATCCCTTGTCTCTGTTGATGGCGGTTTGGAGCATCTCCTAGACCAATCGGTCGAGGTTGCCTAGCTCGACCGAGTCCATTGCCCAAAGGGTTTCCATTCCCCTCTGGTACATCCATGGTATCAGTAACAAGCACCTCAGGTTCCACTTGTACCCTCTGAGTTCTCTGACTCTCTTTCTACCCGTGGTGAAATCTAGCTCGACCAAGTCTTCTGTTGTTCGACTCGATCGAGTTCGCATACACCTGCAAAAAGAATCAAAAACCCAGCAATACAAAGAACAGGGGTGGGATAGCTTGATCGTCCAAGTGTATTGAAACTCAAATGCAACAATATTCAACCCAAATGGCAACGGCGCCAAATTGATGATAGGATTTGTGTGTGTGATGTGATGATATGGTATGAAATGTAAATGAGGTGGAATGCAACAGTGGTGTATGAAGTGAGATGGTATGATGCAAACACAATCACAATCAATCAATTCCCTTAACCATCATAGTCATGAAGTATAAGGGTATCAATCCATAAGGGTGAAATTATTACTCTATGAGATATGCAATAACAAGGAAGTCAAGCAGACAGTAAATGAGATGGTAGTAACTCTAACAACCTAATGAAACAGAAATGCAATGCAATAAAGTGAAGAAAGCAGTAAAGCAACAGCTCGACCAAGGACTCGAGTCGAGTGAGAACAGAGTAACCAAGCTCGATCGAGTTGAGGGTCTACTTAATGTAAAAAGCGATATAGGATCATTGCTCAAACTAATCCATCCAACCCCTATGAACTCCATTTCGAGAGCAAGAGTTTATTGGAGCTCTTAGTGGACCTTTTCCAGCGATTTCCATCACTTCCATGTGGAGAATCGCCTATGGACATACAAGCCAGGGGTAGTGGTCATGTAGCCTTAAGGATTGTCCAAAAGAGAGAGATTTCTAGATTAAGAACATAAGCAAGAAGGATTAAGCATAAAATCCCCTAATCTATCCCATCTTTGACCCTAATGGAAACTACTCACTACACATGAATGTAAACACAAGCAAATGCAATGAAATACATAATATGAAAGAGGAATAAAATGAAACAACTTTTATTGAAATAAGCAAATGCAAATACAAAAGATAAAGCCAGGATCTAAGGATTCAAGAGCAAGAGCTTCAAGAACACAAAGATAGGGATTTTAAAAAGTAAAATACAATTAAAAAAGCTAAAACAAAATGAGCTAAAGCTTGGTGGTTTTTTCGTGGCTAGAGCCTTTAAATACAAGAGGATTAGGTTTAGGGTCAAAGGAAAGTCAAGGGGGAAGCAACATTTTTCGGGTTTGACTGTTGACTTCTCAGCTCGATCGAGTTGAAGCTTGGCCGGTCGAGTTGAGGAACTCGACCGGTTGGTCGAGTAGTGGTCGAGCTGGTCTTCAAGATGGCTTCCTCCTTCTTCCTTTGCGTATCCAGTTGAGCTGCGTCCATGCACCAAGTCCTTCCTTGCTCCTCACGTCCCATATGCTCCAAAATGCTCCAAAAGACCTATTTCAAAGGACCAAACATGCATATGTATGCAAATGCAACCTAAAACTACTATGAATGCATAAGAAGAGAAAAGGAACAAGATATGATGCTAATGGATGCTAAAACTATGCAAAAGATGCATAAAAGATGTACTAAAACTATGTAAAATGCAAGTACATCACTTGCATACCTTGTAGTGCACTTATCTGCTCCTAGTGTTCGATAACCCGTTACTACACCTGACCTGTTCACTTGCAGAATCAGGGATAAGAATAGGTAAAACCTGATCCCGCATCACTTGCGCAACACCTTCACAGTTCTAATGGCTGCCTCATTTCCCGGTTCTAATGGCCGCCCCATTTCACGGTTCCAATGGACGCCCCATTTTCATATGCTTTACGCGTTAGAATACGCTACATCCCACAGTTCTAATGACTGCCCCATCAACTCGTAAGCCCACCATGATCATGATGCTCTCATCATTGCTAGACCAAACACACATCAACCGCCAGGCAATAGATTCTCGTTCTCTTACATGCAATCCTAACCGCGGTTTATCCGTTACACATGCCTTTAACATACTATTCACGAATATATATAGATATTTCATATCAGTCATCGAGTTGTATCACAACATCAATCATCATCTCCTCCATTTTATATTTTTATATTATCTTATAATATATAGTATTTTATATTATCCTCTTCACATAAAAAAAAAATATATATATATATATATACAAACTCAATAAATAATCTCTAGTTACAAATCACTTATACATTCACACCAATCTATTACCTTACAATTGTAGATTTATTTATATAATTTAAAATACTCATCATGTACCAAATAAATCATAGAAACCACATAATTCAGATGTATATATATATACAATTACTAATTAATTATCAAGCATCAACCAATTATTGCACTAGATTTAATCATAATCTTTAGCGATTACTAAGCATAGTATAATGCATAGAATCAGTTCGAGTCACCCTCACCTTTAAAATAATTATAGATATCTGATGAAAATAGCTTGATGAACAGCCTTGTGAACGCATAAATAACTTCTGTAATGAACTGTCCAATTTTCGCTCCCACCGTTGATTCTTAGCCTGTAGTACCATAAAACTCTCCACGAAGTTTCGACCAGATCGGACAACGACTGAGTCCACTACGCTCCTTGAAGTTACCATGTAGTAACTGTTTCTAGTTCAGACTTGGTACAAATGCAGACAGCTTCTGTTGTTTCTTGGCCGGGAAGCAACCACTTTAACTTCTCTAATGCCATTCTGATTGAGTTACAGTATGCTCCTATTGCTTCTCTGACGCGGGCTCTAACCATAACAACATCTTGTGTTGTCCAATTCTTTCATAATTAGTCGGAATCTTCTCCTCAATACCACATGTCAGATCTGCCTTTCTTCTTCAACTCTCTTCCCCATCGTCCATTTTATTTTGCCCACGGTCTGTCTCAACTCCTATTTGGTTCATTATGTCCCTAGGTGATTAAATCAAGCATTAGTTCGAATAAGTTTAATTGTTCACAACCTACTAGTAAATCAACTATCGCAGTCTAAAAGATGTTGCCCACCAAATACTAGTTCAACAGAATGATTCAACACTTTCGATGCTCAAATCAAGATCATATGCTAATTGGCCAGATTAACAACAAGCAGTACGCATAAGCAGAGGTGAAGATTTTAAGTAAAACCCTAATTCATGTGATCGATCATCAAGCAATCATGAATGATATCCTTTGACTTCCTAACACTTAACAAGTAAACTACTCAGACATAGAGAAGGAAAACGAATTCATATTCATAGGAACAGAGATCCGAATCCTCTCTTGATCCGAATCCACTATGGTATGATCTTTCCACTTTCA